TTGAGAACCGCTACCTTAAGTGATTAGCTCCCTTTTAAGTCTGCTTGTTTTGATTTATCAAAGCCTACACCCAATCACAATGTTGGAACAAGAGGCGGGAATAAACAGATTAGTTCCAGAGGGATCAATATAATCTCGTTTGCAGTCTCTGCCCTGAGCTGCCTGTTCTATCTTCGCTCTTCTGCAGCACAGGGCCGCTAATGACCTCGCCAGCTCTATGGATATTTATCTGCTCTCTGTGACTGCAGGAATACATGTAATAACGACCCGAGTGAATTGCGAGTCGAATTACTTTAGAGTTAGCAGAACAAAATCCTGAGTAAAATTATATACCAAACATAATGTGACTTCTGTAAAGTGATGGGGCTGGGAAAAAAATAAAGGTATAAATAAACTGTATGTCAGCTTTACAGAATCAGTCACGACAAACACACAAAGGGCGTTGCGGTGATTAGTTTCCATCAGCAGATCGAAGCCAAAATTCTGCTGATGACGACTAACAACCACGAAATCCTGTATTTAGTGCAGTTGATTCTGCAGAGCTGACAAATACGTGTATGCTTTTCCTATCATTTTTTAAAGAGGAAAATGAGAAGAGCGTAGCTATTCAATCATTCTAAGTGACAAGGTGGGATTAAGAACTGCTTGTCCCGTGCAATCGACACGTACTGTAGAGATCATGATACATACATACATACATACATACATACATACACATACATACATACATACATACATACATACATACATACATACATACATACATACATACATACATACATACATACATACATACATACATACATACATACATACATACATACATACATACATACATACATACATACATACATACATACATACATACATACATACATACATACATACATACATACATACATACATACATACATACATACATACATACATACATACATACATACATACATACATACATACATACATACATACATACATACACATACATACATACATACATACATACATACATACATACATACATACATACATACATACATACATACATACATACATACATACATACATACATACATACATACATACATACATACATACATACATACATACATACATACATACATACATACATACATACATACATACATACATACATACATACATACATACATACATACATACATACATACATACACACACACACACACACACACACACACACACACACACACACACACACACACACACACACACACACACACACACACACACACACACACACACACACACACATACATACATACATACATACATACATACATACATACATACATACATACATACATACATACATACATACATACATACATACATACATACATACATACATACATACATACATACATACATACATACATACATACATACATACATACATACATACATACATACATACATACATACATACATACATACATACATACATACATACATACATACATACATACATACATACGTGTGTGTATGTGTGTGTGTGAGTGTATTCTAACAAATTTGCCGATTTTTCGAACCTGTGTCTCCCTCATGAGTATCCACCATTCTAATCCACCAGTACCCTATTAAATAGTAAAGATATCGTGTAGTGGCTGCTGCATCGAAAGACGGGCCAGATGTGGGAATGCTCACTGTGCAGCGTCGTCGACTGTGATAACATAACATCATCATGTACACTGCCCAGCCGCGTAGTCGCTCATGTCTCTCCGCAGATATCGGTCCTTGGCGTTGTGAATCAATTCCGCTATTGATATTCTACCATGTCATCGCTTCTGGCCGTCAAGCATCGTCTGTCTATGTCTACCTTTGCCTCTTCGACAGTTGGTTTATCCAGCCATCACAATGTAATCCATTCCATCTCTTCTTATCATACGACCAATGAACGCTCAGTGTGTCTCATAGTTGAAAAAAAGTTCTCTAATTTCATTAAAAGGAGGATGGCCATAGCAATGCAAAGATTGAACAGCCTTAAAAGTCTATGGTTAAGCACCAGCGAGGAGATCACAATTAGAATTTTGAGAGCATTCATCTTCCCTGTTACAACATACGGATGTAAGTCGTGGACTATCTCTCATTCCTTGAGAAAGAGACTAGGAGCTTTTGAGCTGAAATGTTATAGAAAGATTCTCAGAATATCTTTGACAAAGAAGACGAGAAACGTTGAAATCTTAAAATATCTGAACATCAAGAAAGATTGGCTAATAGGCAGCATCCTTTCTCGAAAGCTAAAATATTTTGGTCATATCAAGCGCCACGACGGATTGGAAACAATTATAGCAGAAGGCGTGGTACTAGGAAGGAGGGGAGGGGCCGACCGACACGAAGATGGGCACAGGATATAGGTGACTCCTTGAATGTGAAAGTGCATGAGGCGGGAGAACTGGCGAGAGACTGAGTTTCTTTCAGGCAGACTGTGATGAGAGCGACGTTCTGCAAAGGACCTGCTACATGATGATGAATTTCATTGGCCATTTCCAGTCGTTGTTGGTTATTCAGTCCACGATTTCCACATCATGAGTCTCAGAAACCACGTTCTCCGTGGCCTTCAAGTTCTTAATTTGTTCATTCACATTCCAAGATTCACGGTCATTTAGCAGCACGGGTTCGACATATTTATGTATTATTTTTCTTGTATTTAATGACAGAAACACGTTGCATGAAGTATTTTTAATCTTGATAAATGCCACGCCACCTTCACTTAGTATATCGTGCTGTTAATCTGTTACCCATCTTCAATCAGATGTTATAACTGTTCCTAAATATTTGAACACGCTGACCTCCTTTAGTACTCTGCAATCAATTATAATTTCACATTTTAGTGTGTGTTTCTGGTTTTTTTTATAACCGTTGTTTCTATCATCTCGATGTTTAAGGGTGGGTATTTTCTTGCAAACAAAACACATCAAATACTAATATAATGAATGTCTAAAAGATTCTATTACTGAAACCAGTTCACCTAATCCGAACCAAGCCAACACAACCACAGTGTTTCCAATTATGTCTAATGATCCTGTGTATGTCACGGTAATTACGATGTCGTACGTATCCTTTTTCCCAGACTATCTTCGATTTAATGCGACGATTTTATAAAATATATCTAAATTTAGTTCCATTAAATTTGGAAACTGTCGAGTTTCTCTTAATATGATGTATTGATCCCAATAGCCATTTCCTAATATAGTTTCTTGTTCTCTAAATAGAAAGTCTCTAATTTTCTTTCATGATTATCTCGCACGTTTAGAAAGACACGAAAGTGTTTTTTTGACATTAAAAACAATGTACATTTGTTTAATCAATCAGATACCGTCTCCATAGTGACGGGTGGCTGCAATGGACCTCCAGAACTCCTTGTCTCTTGTCTTAGTTGTACACTCTTTCAGACTTATGTTCGTCCGTCTCTTGATGTAGTCTTTCTGCTGTATCGTTATCTATATCTCGTTCTCTCTTTCCCTTTACATTTCCCTCCAGTATGGTTTTTTAAGAGTGCTGCATCTTTTAATATGGCCAAATATTTCAGTTGACTCTTTTGTATTTCTTTTCAGTAAATTTCTTTTCAATTGTAGTCTCTCCAAAACCTCCGTATTGAGCTGTTTTTGTTCCAGATAGGACCTTTTCTTCTGCATATCCAAATTTCCAGAGACTCAATTAGATTTTCTAGCTGTTTGTTTATTATATATCGTTATCGTGTAGATTATCAGGATATTTACGCAGTTTGAGGAGTGGCTCACCGAGTGGTTAAAAATGCTAGGGTCTCAAGACATCTAGGTTCGAATACTCGGTGAGATAAAGAATTATTTTATGTCGGGCGAGAAATACAATTCTCACTGGCACATTCAGTGGGAGTCACCGTGGCGGAGCGACTAGACGCTCGCCGCGAATTAGAAGTTCGTGGGTTCCATGGCGGAGCCGGACTTTTTTCAAAAATAACCTTGGCTCCCAGGTCGACCCAGCCTTGAGTGGGTACTTGTGCAGTCCCTGGAAGTAAAGGCGTCCGTCGTGATGCTGACCACATCACTCATCGCGCACTGATTGGTCTATAAAATATAGGTCTAACCCTATATGACCTTTACGCCTAATAGGCATGGAAAGGGGTCCTTGACTGACTTTTACTTCCATTCAGTAGCGACTGCACAATAGTGCGTTTCAAATGTCGTTTAACGAATATCTCAAGCACTTCTGTTAGGATCAACAGACTTTTGCGTGTGGCCTTAAATTCCCCATATAATTATGATTTTATAATTCACAATTGCAGATGTGCTGCTGTGTTCTTAAAGCGGAGAATTTATGTGATCTTTGTTTGACTAATAATGTGTGTCCTGAAAAAAAATACACAGTAAAAGACACAATTAGTTTTCTGTTGAAACCACAAGCATGGAGCGTGTTGCCAGTCAGTTCGATTGTGCGGCGATGCGTGGTGATTATTGTGATAATCTATCATGTATAAAATAGAGTGTTTATGCACTTCACGGGAGGCTAAAGAAGGAGATTATCCATCTGAGAGGACGAGAAGGAGGGAAAGGAGGAAGAGAAGGAGAAGGAAAAGAAGGAGAAGGAAAAAAAGGAGGAGGAGAAGAAGAAGAAGAAGTAGAATAATAATAATAATAATAATAACAATAAGAAGAAGAAGAAGAAGAAGAAGAAGAAGAAGAAGAAGAAGAAGAAGAAGAAGAAGAAGAAGAAGAAGAAGAAGAAGAAGAAGAAGAAGAAGAAGAAGAAGAATATTATATTTGTGTGTTGCCTTCCCCCACCCCCACCCCCATCCCCATCCCCCCACCCCCACCCCCCACCCACAGAAAAATTATGAACAGGGGGAAAACATTAACAGACCTGTGTCCATCGACATGCTTGGTCCGTGAGTGACGAGTTGTCATTGTCACTAGAGACGATTGAATGACCAGCGCTGCTAAACTCATCAGTTTTAATCGTTCCATTCTGACTAGGTTTACCTGCAAATAAAGTGAGTCAATGCAGACAATGGGGGAAATATTATTTTAAAAAATACAAAATAATAACTGGACAATACTAGAAAAAACAGCGATAGCTGCAATGGTGGTAGTAGTAGTAGTAGTAGTAGTAGTAGTAGTAGTAGTAGTAGTAGTAGTAGTAGTAGTAGTAGTAGTAGTAGTAGTAGTAGTAGTAGTAGTAGTAGTAGTAGTAGTAGTAGTAGTAATAGTAGTAGTAGTAGTAGTAGAAGTAGTAGTAGTAGTAGTAGAAGTAGTAGTAGCAGTAGTAGTCGTAGTAGTAGCAGTAGTAGTAGTAGCAGTAGCAGTAGTAGTAGTAGTAGTAGTAGTAGTAGTAGTAGTAGTAGTAGTAGTAGTAGTAGTAGCAGCAGCAGCAGTAGCAGTAGCAGCAGCAGTGGTAATAGTAGCAGCTGTAGCAGCATTGGTAGTGGTAAAGTAGTGTCTAGTAGCAACAGTAATGGAGTAGTACACTGATGGGTAGTAGATGCAGCAGGAGTACAAATAGTAGTACAGTAGTAGAAGAAGTAGTATTAGTAGTAGAGTAGTGTATTAGTAGTATAGCAGCATCAGTAGCAGCAGTAGTGGTAATAATGGAATAGTAAATTATCGACTCTACAGTGGAGGTTGGCTGCAGTGGATTTCGTCGTCCTTTTTTAGGAGAATTCTGAGGCACAGCCTTATGCATGCATGTCATAAAAGACAAAAAAATTAAGGATTTGCAACAAAATCGAGTGTGTTGAGCAATATGTAGATATCACAGCCAGCTATAAACTGCAACACAGCGTGCTAACCACACTTCTAACTAGGGAGAAGGTGGAAGTGGGAGAAGAACTATGAGGAGATAAAGAAGAAGAAGAAACAGAAGAAGAAAAAAAAGAATGAAAGAAAAAGAAGAAGAAAGAAGAAAAGAAGAAGAAGAAGAAGAAGAAGAAGAAGAAGAAGAAGAAGAAGAAGAAGAAGAAGAAGAAGAAGAAGAAGAAGAAGAAGAAAGAAAAAGAAGAAGGAGAAGAAAAGGAAAAGAAGAAGAAAGAAAAAGAACAAGCAGCGCAGCAAAAGAAGAAGAAGAAGAAGAAGAAGATGAAGAAGAAGAAGAAGAAGAAGAAGAAGAAGAAGAAGAAGAAGAAGAAGAAGAAGAAGAAGAAGAAGAAGAAGAAGAAGAAGAAGAAGAAGAAGAAGAAGAGAAGAGAGAGAAGAAGAAGAAGAAGAAGAAGAAGAAGAAGAAGAAGAAGAAGAAGAAGAAGAAGAGAAGAAGAAGAAGAAGAAGAAGAAGAAGAAGAAGAAGAAGAAGAAGAAGAAGAAGAATAAGAAGAAGAAGAAGAAGAAGAAGAAGAAGAAGAAGAAGAAGAAGAAGAAGAAGAAGAAGAAGAGAAGAAGAAGAAGAAGAAGAAGAAGAAGAAGAAGAAGAAGAAGAAGAAGAAGAAGAAGAAGAAGAAGAAGAAGAAGAAGAAGAAGAAAAAGGAGGAGGAGGAGGAAGAAGAAAGAGAAGAAAAGGGAGGAGGAAGAAGAAAAGGAAGGGAATAAAAGAAGGATGAAGAAGAAGAAGGAGAAGAAGGAGGCGAAAGAGTTGGAGGAGGAGGAGAATCATGCTTTCGTTTTTAACCCTAAGAAGAAGAATATTTCAAGATAGAAAAAGTCGTGGGACCTAGGCTGTACTCTCGTGGGGCGGAGGTGGGTTGGGGTTAGGTCCAGTTCTAGATGTTTTGGGGTCCTTAAAAGCACCACAAAGCCGGGAAACCCGGTCTTACCACCCTATAAAATAATATTGGACTGTCCCCGAGACGTCATGTGGAGTGACTTATTACGAAAGAACCAGAGAATTGAAAAGCCGCGGAAAATACTCGTATCTGCTTGTTAAAACATGTGGAGGAGAAAAGTACACTTATATAAGGACATAAGATTTTCGTAGAATGAGAGGAGAATTGTCGAAAAACGGAGTTCTCAGGAGGAGGGTGATGGGATCTGATTCAATTGAATGTAGACTGCTTGTTCCTTGCATGCACTCTGACTTCAAAGGAAGCTCCCCAGTTAGTCGACTCTTACGACTTGCTTTTGGGGAGGCAGTGGGTCTATTCTTGTTTTCCCCCACAATAGGGCCCCGGAACCCACACGGTGGGTTGCAATGTTCTATCCAGGCAGTGTTCTGTATAGTTGCAATGTTCTATCCAGGCAGTGTTCTGTATTGTTGCAATGTTCTATCGAGGCAGTGTTCTGTATTGTTGCAATGTTCTACTAATTAGAAGCCACTCAATTAGGGTTTTGCTTTCGAGGTCGATGTATCTTAAATTAGAGCTCGCGTGCTCTTGTTCAGTAGAGCAAGGTAAGTAAACAAGAACATATTGAGCCACGTATATGACATGTGGCATCTGCTGCAGGCTTTGTATTTGTAATACTGATCAGCGCTCCATCATCGATGTGCCTAGTGTCATCCCAGAGGCTGTTACTTTTCTAATCACATCCTGGTGTCTATTTAAGGCACTGAAACAGGGGGAGATCAGGTGCGTCCTTGCCCCAAGGATGATTGGAATTCCTAATAACAGTGTCGGTTAAGCTCGCTTTCTAGCCACTGATTCTCAGTGGCTGGCCAAGGGCACACAGCTTCAGTGTACAGATATCTCGTTTAATGTTTCTCCAATTATGTTTCCACTTCCTTGACTTTAAATTTTTTAAAACTTGAATGTGTCTACAACATATCTATGATCACTGTAACAGTATGTGGGCGACGCCTAGGTGTAGTAGTTAGCGGCTGGCCTGCGGATCCGAAGTTCGTGCGCTCAAATCTGATCGGAGCCTGCCTCCCCCCCCCCCCCCCACCAATGGCCTTGGCTCCCAGGTCGACCCAGTCTTAAATCCGTATTAGGTAAACTCTTGGGAAGAAAAGGCGGCTAGTGTGATGTTGTCTGCATCACCAGCCGAGTACCGATTGATCTTCATAATCTAGCCCTACATGCCCTATACGCATGAAAGCGTGGAAAATGGACCTTTAGTTACTTACTATATTTCCTAAGACGTATGTCGAGTGCTGGAGGTCCCGGGTTCAAACCCCGGTGAAGGCTGGGATTTTTTCACGTGAACTTCTAGTAATTTCACCTGGTCTTTGGGAAATAAGATCAGACGCGCGTGTGTATCGTTGCGCACATAAGAAATCCACTGGCAGCTGGAAATCGAAAAGAGTAGCCTAACGGCGTTGTCCAGAGCAAAATTTGCAGTTAAAAATCTACCAAAAGTATTTCAGGATCCTCTTCAGTGCTACAGAGTCTGTGCACTATGCTAGACTTCGTCTGACTCGTACTTGAGTTAGAAGAAAAAACGAAGCACTTACTACCCGTATGATATGATATTTATCCGCTGTTCAAACTTCAAACTTCACTCGAAAAGAGTAACATAACGGCGATGTCCGGGCAAAATTGGCAGTTAAAATTCTACCCAAAGTATTTCCAGGTTTCTCGCCGGTTCTACGGAGTTCGCGCACTGCGCTGAGTTTCTTCAGACACCGGCTTGAGTTTGAAGTGGAACGGAGTACTTATGGGATACTACTCTTGTGCTATGATGTTGGTTCGTTGTTAAAACCTCAAACCAATGAGGAAACAGGCGTGGATTAGGGTCAGTTCTTGAATTATGGATGTATTTGTTCTTGTCTTTACGCAAGATATTCTTAGAACCCGTCTATAACATTTGTATTTCTTAACAATACTAAGATTTTTTAAAAATCGCTTTTGTTTGAAGTCTTTAACAAAACACGTATTGAGGACATCAAAGTCATTGCTTCAGGACATTAATGTTTCAGGACAATATTGCTTCAGGACAATATTGCTTCAGGACAATATTGCTTCAGGACATTAATTAAGTAAAAGTAAAGTAAAGATCCCTTATTACGCATAAGGCGCATCGGGTATATGGGCAGGGCGTCCCATATTTTACAGACCAATCGGCACTGGATGGGTAATGTGGTCAGCATTACGCCGGCCGTCTTTACTTCCCCAGGACAGCCACCCTGGTACCCATTTGAGGCTAGGTCGACCTGCGACGTCCCATACCACGATAAAAATCCACGCAGCCCGCAGTGGGTTTCGATCGGGGTACGTTGGATTACGAGTCTGACTCGCAACGCCTTAGCCACGGACGCCGGGACATTAATTGCAACAACTAAAAGCCGTCAAAGCTTTGTAAAAAACGTGAGTGGGAAAAATCTTCTGATCAACTATATTGCTAGACACACAACACACACGCGCGCCGGCGTACGCACACACACATGCACGCACGCTAGCAAGCACGCGTGCCCACACACATATATATGTGAAACAAATTCATATGTGTGTAAGTGTGTGTTTATAGAGATTTAACAACTTTTTAATGACAAATTAAACATATGGCATCTTTTGATGAGTTTTGCTTCTTTTTCAACAAAACAACATAAACATTGAATGTAATAATACTCCCCAAAAAAATGTCTCCTGCCTTGATCCCAAACAGTGTCTTGGCAGGCAAGAGCACTAAGCACTTTGTGTCGGAGATATGCAGATAAGACACAATTTGAGAAATAACATGTCTCAGGAAATAAAGTGAGAATTAGTTCCCCTATTTATAAGCTTTTGTAAAGTTCGTACAATTTTGCGTTCGATTTGTTCCTTGTCAGTGGCGCCTTGAGCATTTGAGAGACGGGTCTTTACAGCCCAATCAACATCACACAGCCCGCCTTTACTTTCCAGAACGTTAATTGATACTTATTTTAGCTGTGTCGACATGGGAGCCGAGGTAATTTGTGAAAAGAAAATTTGAAATATAATACGGATTCTTAACGAATACCTTAATTGCAGCAGGCGAGAATCCAGCCAGTTAGCTGCCAGAGTTTCCAGGGATGCTCAGTGGAATTTAATCTATTATAGAACAAGTTTAACAGGCATATGGGAAGGAACTGACTGACTGACTTTCTACCCCACCAGGACATCACACAAGCGATAAACACCCGATGACACAAAGTGCCACCA